TGCCTATCCCTGCTCTACACCTAGAGCTATATCTTTGAATTCACACACTACACTGTTCCAGTGCTATTGTTCCACTTTAACTGCTACAGAATGCCTCCAGTCCTGTGGCATTTTGGGCATTGTAGTGAGGCCTAAGAACTCTCTGACTGAGAATTCTAAATGCCCCTCACTAAACTGCAAATCTCAGGATTCCACAGGAGGCAGCCAAGGCAGTAAAAATGGAATAACAACACTATAATAGTGTTGCTTGGTTGTGGTGCGTGTGAGAGAGAAGTGGTTGGGAATGCCCACCTTTTCTCGCTCAACACCCATTTGAGGTGTGGGTGCAAGAGTCACACATGCACACTACATGTTATAGGGCTGTTGTCCACTTTGATTGCTACAAATATGCCTCCTGGGAAATTCTAGGCTTGTCGTTTATTGAAACCCAGGAGCTCTTTGGCTGGGACTTCTAAGTGCCGTTCTCTAAAATGCAAATCACAGGATTCCATAAGAAAAGCCAAGGCGGTAAAAGTGAAATAATAGCGCTATAATAGTGTAGCTTGGTGGGCTGTATGTGTGACTTTGTGGTAAGGGTGCAGAGTCACGAACAATTCACTGTTACAACACTTATTCCATTTTAGCTGCCACAGCTGCCTCTTGGGGACAGGGTGACCAGATGTCCTCCTTTTCCAGGGCCTGTCCTCCGTTTTAACCTTCTGCCCAGGAGGAATTCCAAAATGTCCTCCATTTTGAGCGGGACTTGGGGGCTATGCAGATGGGCGGCTCTGGGCCGCCCCTGCTAGTGGCAGATTGGGGCCACAGCAACCCCACGCCACGGCCCCGCTCCTTCCTTTTGCTGACCCCTAAAAGAACGGCAAGAGGCTGCCCTAAGAGCCAGCACTGCAGCCCTTCTGTGCTCTTTCAGCGTAGTGTGTCTGTATGCTGCACCAGGAGGGCATCCTGATGCCGTGCTCCGTGCAAACGGGCGCGGCGTCAGGATGGGGTTGGGGCGGCTGGCGTGCGGTTGCTCCACCCTGAGGCCGGCCCTTTAGGCTGGTCTGCAACGCCCCAAGTCTCCCCAATTCCAGACAATAGACTCTCAACCTTTGACCTTCAAGATATTTGGGATTTCACATCCCAGATTCCCCAACCATTGACCATGCTGGCTGGAACGAAAAGTAGAGAACCATCCTACAAGAGGGGTGAGGAACATGATGCCCTTCAGGTGTTGTCCAACTACAAGTCCCATCATTTTGCACCAGTGGCCAAACTGGGTGGGACTGATAAGAGATGGAATCCATCAACATCTGGAAGGTAGCAGGATCTCCAGATGTTCTCACTGTTAGTGTAGTTATTTATTTATTTATTTATATATATTTATATTTATATTTATATGCCACCCTTCTCTTCAATAAGGACCCAAGGCAGGTCACAAAATAATCAAGTAGAGTTGGGGAACCTCTACCCCTTCAGATGTTTTTGACTGCAGTGCCCATAACCCCTTGCTATTGGCCATGCTGGGAGTCAAAATCCAAAATAGCTGGAAGGTGTCAAATGTACCCCACCCTGGCATTAGAATCCAGATTAGAACAGGAGAGACCAAGGCTTAAACCCTTATTTTAGCCTCAGCCTTGAAATTGACTGGGGGACTACGGGCCAGTGATGTCTCAGCCTAGCCTACCTTACAGGGTTGTTCTAAATATAACAGAGACCTGTGTATGCTGTCTTGAGCTCTTTGGAGAAAAAGTAAGAATTGTGTTGTTATACTGATGTTTTAAAATAGGTAACCATCAGATTAGTGCAAGTTCCCCCCCCTTCCCCCCCTTTCCATTTTCTTCTCTGAAAAGAAGACAGAGCAATAATGCCCAAGACTGTCTACTGTGTGAAGAGTTAACAGTCACAGCATAACAGTTTCAATGTGCTGATCTAAATGTATGGAAAATTCAAAGTTAGGCAAAAGGAAAATTGACTGTATAGAGTAACATTGAAAGCAGATGTATCCAGAATAAGTAGAGTAGAAGGAGCTTTGGATAAACAAAGAAAGGCCACTGAACAGTAGTTTACAGTGGAATTTTATGCATTTCTGCATCGTCAGAAGTAAGTCCCATAGATCTCAGTGGGGTGTGCTGGAACACAGTCTTACCCATTTATTTGAGAGTAAGCCCAACTGAACTCAATGGGAGTCACATCTAAGCAGACATAAACAGAATTCTGACACAAGTATATGCAAAGTCGACAACCCAATACTAAGTTAAGTTCCTTGACCCAATTATTTTCTGAGGTCTTAAAGCTCCAACAGATTGGGGCCAATATACACAGTATATAATAATACACACAGTATTGTGCTTTTTCTCTCTTTCTGGAAGCCACCAAGTGTGATGCTACTACTCTCATTTTATTAGAATTAGCGTAGCATACATAGCCTTTCCTTCAAACTGGAGGTGCTGCTGGGACATACAGGCAAAGTGAAGTGACCTAACAAACAATGTATGTCTAATGTGCCATGAAAAATGTGTTGAGAAATGTTCTTCTAAGATAGGCCTGGCTAATTATCTGGCTGAACTGAAAGCCTTTATCATTTCTTGTTAGCCTTAATGACATCAGAAAGGTCTTCTCTTTCTACCTCATTATAAGATTAAGATGTCTTGATGGCAGGGCTAAAGAAAGAGGACATTGTGCAGCATAGGTTCCAGAGCCACATTTCTCAAACTTCTTTGCTCTGATAAATTGTCTCTGAAGTCACAGAATTACTGAGTTAAAAGACACCCCAAGGGGCATCTAGTCCAATCCCTTGTCAGTGCAAGAATCCACAGCTAAAGCTTTCATGACAATTGTCTGTCTCTCTAAAAACAGAGCCTACCACTTTCTGAGATAGTCTAGTCCACTATTGAATAGCTTTCACCATCTTCCTAATATTTAGTCAGAATCCCCTTTTTTCATATCAAATCATTGGTTCGAATAGATTCTGGAGCAGAAGAAATCAAACACACTCACCTAACACCCCTTCAGATATTTAAAAATGGCTATTATATTATCTTTCCATCTTTTCCATGCTAAACATATCCGGGTCCCTCAACTGTTCCTCACAGAACATGGTTTTCAGGCCCTTTATCATCCTGATGGCACTCTTCTGGACATATTCCAGCTTGTCAATACTTTCTACAATAAAATGTAGTGCCCATAACTGAATAACACTCTGGCTGTGGTCTAACAAAACCAAAACAAAACAAAATACAGTCAGCCTTCTGTTTTCGCAGGGGATCCGTTCCGGATCTCCCTCCCCGCAAAAATGGAGATTTCCAAATATTCAAGCTCCATAGACTTGAATGGGGCACACTCCTATGGGCACACGCGGGGGTGAGCCCATAGGGGTGCACTCCATTGATTTAAACAGGGGTTGCCCCTCTGTGAATATGCAAAACCACGGACTTCAAATCCACGAGAACGGAGGGGCGACTGTAAAGCTAGTACTTCTTTGATCTGGTCAGTATAGCTCTGTTGATAGTCAAGAACTGCACTGGCCTTTTCTGTGACTGTGTCACACTGTTGACTCAAACAGTCTACTGAGGCTTACAATACAACATTCCATCAATGTAGTGTAAATCCACATGCAGACCTATGCTACAATGAGCCAGATACCCTTTCTCCCATTTACTGAAAAGCCCATGAAGCTGCCCTGTATTGCCTGCAGGATCCCAGCAGATCTCAAATTAATTTTGGTCTGCAACTCCCAACATTCCTGATCATTGGCTATGCTGTCTGAGGCCGAAAAGAGTTGAAGTCTAAAACATCTGGAAGGCACCAGATTAGAGAAGGTGGGTTACCTTGCATAACCTACAGAGGTGCAATTCTGTTGTTGCAAGTAGTAGTAAGACATACCAGGAATAGTAGATTCTCTTTTGTTTAAATCTTGCTTCTGCTAATAACTTATGGCCTTTGACAAGACACCATATCCCCATAATGCATTTTTTCTGCATTGTGGGGGAATGACATCTGCCTTATAGTATTATGGTTGCTTTGTTTGCACACGTTGTATTTAGCAGTATTTACGTCTGTCTTTCCTTCCATGCGTTCAAGGGGTGTTTAAGGCTTTTTCTCCCTTTTCTCCGCTTCATCCTCATAACAGTGAGGTAGGTTAGGTTGAGAGAGAGCAAAGGAGAGCATGTGACTGGTCAAGGTCCCCCAAAGAATTTCAAGACTTAGTAGAGACTAGAACCTGGGTCTCTGGAGTCCTAGTTCAATACACTGACCACTATGCCACACTGCCTCTTCCTGCAGTAAGGATTACTGAGGTAATACACATGCTTCATGAAGTATTCTGTTAATGCCAAATAGGATGATGCTCTATAGGATGTTAGAAATTAGACAAAATGGGAGTTCCTGTAAATTTCTGCAGAAATTCATCAAACAAGGAGTACAGTCAGCTCTCCATATCCACAGATTATACATCCATGGATTCAACCTTCCATGACTTCAAAACATTTTTTAAAAATGCCTAAATAGCAAACCTTGATTTTGCAATTTTATATAAAGCACACCATTTTACTACCCTATTATGGGGTGTCCTGGAACCAAACCCCAGTGGATACCAAGGATCCACTTTATGTATATCTGCTGTAGATAAGAAGAGAGAGAGAGAGAAAGAGGAGGAGGGTTATGGAGTAGTATACTTGTATATGTGAATCATTCTCAGATTTCTTTGTTAAAATAACTCGTTCTCTTTTCTGATTTTCTACTGTCTATCCCATTCTGTTTTCCAACTATTTCTTGGCAGCATTTCTGTTGGCGGGATGCTGTTGCCAAGGGAGATAGAAAGATATGCAGCTGTTTCCTCCACCCCTTCTTTCTTTCACCAGCACTTAGACTTGCCATTGCTATTTACCTGACTGGGCGACCTTTGCCTGCTAAGAGTTTCACTCTTAATGTTCGATGGCACTTGGGAGGAATTGTGTGACAGTGGTGTAAATGGCTCTTCACATGGCTAAAGCAAGATCTTGTCAGATCAAGGATACTATCTTCAGTCACAAAGGCTGATAGCAGATTACAGTAATAGCAGAATGTGTGTGTGGGGGGGGGAGTGGACTAAACTAGGATCTTTGAAAGCTGAATGGGATTGTTTACAGATAGTCTAATATGGGCAAATGTTAAGCGAAGAATAGTACAGGGAACAGGAGGTTTAAAGCAGGGTCAAGCAACGGCAACAGCTGACGGCTCCCATTTCAATGGGGCACTGAATCCATTCCAAGGACTGGGGAGTTTGGAGAGATATCCAAGGTACTGAACCTATTTTGGAGATAGGATTTGGCACTTTGGATAACCACTTTAAAGGTTGGATGGAACCCCTACAGAAGATTTACCATCTCACTGATACGGATCAACACATGATATAAAGGATGCATGTATTCTCCACACCATTTTTAATGACCTCCAGCTCTTTCTTCCTGACCCAAAATTTATGAGCAAACCACTAAATTCCATAAGACAAACATATCCTGATTTTTTCCCATGTAAAAACATTAAGAAACATCTGGTTTTGTTTCTTAATAGCATGGCTTTTAAAACAAATTACAAAGGGCCCTTGGTATCCACTAGGATTTGGTTCCAGGACTCCAAGTGGATACCAAAATCTGTAGATGATCAAGTCCTATTATATACAGCAGCACAGTAAAATGGTGTGCCTTATATGAAATGACAAAATCAAGATTTGCTTTTTGGATGGGGGGGTATTTTCAAGCCATAGATGTTTGATTCCATGGATGCAGAATCCGTGGGTATGAAGGGCTAACTGTATAAGAATAGAAATGGACCTAAACCAAAATGCTGCAGTTTGTAACACTTTTTTCTTCAATGTTCCATCTAGCCATACTGTTTTCTGGGATATTCCATTCCTTCATGCTTTTTCATTTCTCAGCCTCTCCGACATCCAGGCTGCTTCCAAGATAAAGCCTGAATTGTGTAAATAATCTCTTTTATTAACAAAAATTTGACTATAGGTCCAGACACAGTTATCACCCACTTTTAACCGTCTCATATTTTCCAACAACTACTTCTGTCTTCTTTCTTTTCACACACACACACCTTCTGCTCGCCATTATGCTTCATCATAATGGAATGTATCTAATCCCAAAATTATAAATCTCTCCTTAAAGCAGAAAATGAGGACTTTTTATAGTCTTGGCCCCAGTTCCAACTTGGTGGCCACATCCCACTGGTGGACATAGAATTATAGGAGTTTCACACGAGGAGCCCCATGCAAAATCACTCTTTAAAGTGAAAAAAAAAGACCGCAAAAGCGGAAGCTTTTAATGAACGGGATTTCTCCCGTTCTGCC